AGCCAGCCAGCTGGCTGGCTGGGGAATTCTGGGAGTTGAAGTCCACTCATCTTAAAGTGGCCAAGTTTGGACAACACTGATATAAATCATGGAAAGAGTCAGACGGAAAAGAATTTCACCTGAGCAAAAACTACTTCGCCAAAGAGCTCGGCGAAAGCCTTTCGGGGACCTGCCCACCTACCAGGAGTAGAGGAAGAAGACGAAGTAAGGGAGGGAGACGGCCAGCTGGAGCCAACGCCAGTCACGGATGAGATAAGCCACCCCGGCCAGGATGAACTGCCCAGTCGTGTAGCTGTAGCCGTTGATCGTCCCCACGATGGCCCGGTATTTGCTGGGGATCCACTCCATGCCTGGCCAGGAGACAAGATACGGTGATGGGCCGGGCAGGGGCATCCACCGGCATGTCAAAAAAGTCAAGATGGGAGCCACCCCCATGCCATCCAAGCCCTGCTCGTTGGTCACACGGGCACAGGCAAAGCAGGGCTTGGATGGAGCCAGCCGGGCTCCCCTCTTGAGGGGTGTGCCCTAGCTGGAGGGGTCCGCTCACTTTGCAATGCCCACCCCAGCTCCCTGCCTTGACCCAGAGCGGTTGACTTCACTTTTGAGTTGATTAAATGAAACGCGAGTTGATTCAGTGGGCGCTGCCCTGAGTCACAGAGCTCTTCCGGTGGGTGGGAGGAGCAACTAGGCCAGTGTTTCTCAATCTTGAAAAGGGATGGACTTCAACTCCCAGAATTTTTCAAGCAGCGTGCCACGGGCTGGCTTCTAGCATGGCACGCGATTTTTGCCTTCCATTCATTTCCTTTTCAATTTTTTTTGCATGCTGTATATTCTGTACGATCCCTAGATTCACTACAGGGCAGATATTTTTAAAGAATTGCATCCCCTCGAACCATGTCTTACACCTTTCAAAATACATACATACGTATATATATATATATATATATATGCATTTTATATTTGAAAGTATATTTATATATATTTGAAAACCACAGCTCTAAATCACTGTTCAGCAACCTTTTTAGGGTCAGATGGACGCAGTATGTTTAAGCCGCTCTGTGGCACCCTGAATTTGACCAACCTGAACCCCAGTTTTTTTTTTTAGGGGGTACTACCTTTTCTGCAAACAGGCCGTGTCCTTTTGGGCAGTTCCTGGCCTTCTGCAAAAGCCCCCCATTAATTTGACATATATAATTAATAATTTTCCGGCGTGCCACCGAACAACAGCCCCCTTTCATACTCTGCTGCGGGCCCCAAAAGGCTGAGAGCCACCGATTTAGAGAGTGAAATGGAAAACCCCTTCTGCAAAATAGAGCCGGGGTTTGGAAAAGTTGGCTGACAGGGAAGAGAGTCGCTCGAGACTCACAAAGAGAGACGGAATTGAGCGAAATGCCTGACATCGCCATCCCGCACAGGAACCGGAGGATGCAGTAAATGGTGAAATTGGGCGCGAAGGCCGTGCCAGCCCCGGCGGCCCCCATCTGCAGGTAACACCAAATGATCAGGGCTCTTCTGCCGAATCTGCAAGACACAGCAACAGACAGTCTGCAACCAGAGATATTTTTTCTTTTAAACGGAGATCAGGAGCGACTGGAAATCACTTTTCCAGATGGAGTTATTTTATTTCTGCTTCGGTGCTTCAAGGGGGCTAATGACATTTCTCCTCTCCCTGGCCAGCATCTTCACCTGGCCTTGGGGTCGGGGAGCCGAGCTGCCCCAGAGTCCCTCGGGGAGCCTCCAGGGCCGAAGCTGGACTCGAATCTAGCCCCCTCCCCACTCCTAGTCCAGGACTCTAACCCCTACCCCACGCTGCCTCTCACCTGTCCGAGAGATTTCCGATCAGCAGCGATCCGATCAACACGCCGGCCATGTAAATGGACTGGGCCATTTGCCTCAGTGACCGAGATTCGCACACTAGATTCCACTGGAAAATAATTGGGGGGCGCAGGGAAGAGAAAAACCAAAGCCGTTGAGAATTTCTGCGGACCTCAGATCCCATCGATCTACGAGCTTGGATCCTTAAACCTCCTACCGTTTGTTTGGAAGGACCAAGTGGAAGAGTGTTTCTGGGCCTGTGCAGAGGGCAAGGATTGGCTCTGAAGTTCTGTGGCCTGAAGACCGAGAGCACACAATTGTGGCTTTCCACAATGTAAGGGGCTCTGCCTACCAGCGCGTCCTTTTCTGCTCACCTATGAGCCACTTAGAGCCACCAGCTCATCTCCAAAAAGCTTTAAAATACACCATATTTCATGGCTGAACAAATCACAGCAGTCAATCCATGGAGGGCTCAAAATGCAATTTTTAAAAAAGTTAAAATGTCTGAGTCAGATTTGATTCCTGGCCACTTCATGGATATAGTTTTCTTGACAATCATTCAACAATCCAAGGTTTGCTTTTTTAAATTTCCAGTCTAACCCCTGGCCCTGGGCTTTCCTGGTGGTGTCCCATCCAAATGCTCACCAGAATAACTCAGTTTAGTTTTTTGAGAAAAGGTAGGAGGCAATCTTTTCAAAACCCACCCTTTGTGAACTTTTAAAAGGAGATTGTGGAGCTGAAAAGGGGACAGAGAAAGACACCCCAAAATTGATTGGGGGGTGGGGTGGGGGCTGAAAGCTGTTACCTTACTAGGAATGACCAGAGTTGGGTGTCTGAGCTTGGAATCAAAATGGGCTGAGATCTTCAGGAATCAGGAAAATGCAGATTGAGAGAAATGATTCTTTCTCTTTCTCACAATCTTAGGTAATCCAGAGAAATTAAACCCAAGGAGATTCAGGTTGAGAGCATCTTAATGCTCCGATAAATGATGGAACTCACTGCCACCAGATACTGGCCGCCATCATTTCTTATCCCTCTTTGGTAGCATCCTGTAGCTTGAACATCTCAAGAGCTTAGAAGCTAATTTGCTTATCCCAACCCTTCGGGTGGAACATGTAGCCCAACCGCTCTAGAAGATGCCCGTCTGGGATACCTCAACCTTCTCGTCCCAAGAAAGCTCTAAAATCGAAAAACGGTTTCTTCCTCACCTCGCTGACGATCGTGTTGGTGAACAAGCTCCGGTCGTAGGTCCAGCCGTCCACACATGCTTCGGTGTCCAAGACGGTCTCGTTGCTGAGAGTCGCGTTCGAGTCCAGGAAGCGCCACTGCAGGGCCACGAAACGCCGGCATTTCTCGGCCTGTTGGTTCGGGCCCGTGGGGACGGCGATCCGGAGCAGCTGGTGAGCCCCCAGGTTTCGGACGGTGCTGTTGCCCTGGCGCGTGTCGTTGGAGGAGAGGCGGATCTGGCAGTGATGCTGAGGGATCCCGGCGGTGAAATTTTGCAGGAGGTTATGGCTGGCCAGCATCAAGAGCGGGATGGCCAAGAAGCTCACCAGCGTCCTTTGGAAACGCCCCATTCCTCCGACATTGTCCAAAACGTCAGCAAACGTCATGGTGTCCTCGCAGCACCGGATGAGAGAGGCGACAGTGGTGGGAAACGATCCACGAAAGGGCCAGGCTGACCCCCACGCGTGGAAATGGATAGATGGGCAGAAGGCTGGCCGGCTGCCTTGTGTCAGTCGAGATCTTCTGCACCCTGCAGCCCCCAATCTCCAGCTTTTCAAAGGAATACTCTTTCGGCCTTAGTCCTTTGGGTTAGGCCCACCTAGCTTTATATAAAATTTCAGCCACGTTAGTTAAAATGTTACTCCAAGGGAAATTTCCTACCCAACGTCACGGACTGCTAAAGATACTTAGGAGATGGGGCAAGAAACAAGTGAACCGGAAAATGAACTTTGCATTGCATCATTGGAGAGCAAGAGAAAAAATGGGGCGGCTTGAGACTCCCCTAAAATCGCCCTGTATTTTAACTCCAAGAAACCCCCATGGAGCAGCCCTCCGGGTCCCCCCCCCAAGAAATATCCTTCCTATTTTGCACGCCAATTCCAGCTCCTCGTGGGAATATGTAGGTGCTTCCGTGGAGAAGTGGCTTTGACACAGATCATTAAAAACCTAGAATCATCATTTATTGCTCCTTATGGACTTTTTGCGTGAAACAGAAAAAAAATGATTGATGGTTTTGATGATTTGAAAAAAAAATAGGTTGTTGAAAAAATGAAAGGCATGTTGTAACCATAGAGGAGGAGGCAAATTTATACTTGACTGCTGTAAAGAAAATGGGAAACTTCGTCTTTCTATTCTCTTTCTTTTTTTTCCTGCATTTCGGCTTTGTCTTTCTTTTCTTCTCTTTTTTCCTCTCTTCTCCTTGTTCTACATTAGTTTTAGTTAGCCTTGATCTTTCTTTTTCAAATTTTAATATTCAGAAGAAATATTTTAATATATACTCCAGATGTTTTAAAAAATCTAGAATCGCGTTTCCTTCAACTCCCGTAAAACGACAGAACGCACACACACCTATACCTATCCATTCCCAACAGATTCCATCATGTTGGTTCTTCGTTGGGCAATTTTTGTTAAAAAATTAGTGTTTAAGGGGGTTACAAAGGCCTCTTTTCTCTCTTTCTCTGTCTCCTTTTGGGAGGCCTGCTAGAAAAATAATTTTTTTTCCCAGATTGAGGGATTTTAATGAGCTAGACAAGGGATGTTGGAGAGCACAGCTTTCATTATCATTCGTGCATTATCCTGGACACCTTTTTTTAATTTTCTAGGGCTGCAAAATTCCTGGCTGGGTTTGTAAGACACCCTGAACCTCATTGCTGAATTAACCCATTCTCTGGATTTGCACAGCCCCTCCTCTCCTGTCCATATTCCTCTAGTTGCCTTGACATTTTACTCCATTTTTAATCAATTCACTGACCCCCCTTGCTGGGGAAGCGGATCTAGTTAATTTCAGAACCTCTTAATCAATTTCACCGTGCAGTTTGAATTTAATTTCCCCCCTTTATGCAACTAACACAAGTGTTCAGCGCAGAGCATCCTCTGCTTAACAGTGATTTCACTGCCGTTTTGAAGCCTGATAGATTTCGCAGCTGCGGCCAATAAAAAAATAAAATAAAATCATGATCCTAATTATAAAATCTTCTGGGGAGGGAGAATGCATTTTCGAGGGAGGGGGGACGTCCAGAAGCTGGGTGGCAGAATGCCTTTGCATCTCCAAGTGAATCAATCATCACATGGAGGGGGTGTAATGTGGCTAAAATAATTCGTAAGTGCAGAATTGTTTTCAGAAAACTCAGCTTTCTGGTGGGAAAAGTCTGGAATGGTTTTCCATTTACTCCTGATCCTGGCTGTTCTGGAGCTCCGTTCCCACCCAAAGGTTCTTGATTTTCTCACTGATGAAATTGGAAGAAGTTTTGTTGGACAAGAGTAGACCAACCCGGGGCTCTGGGTTGAACGTTTCCAGGCTGGCATTTCTCCCCTTGCATATTACAATCAATCCTTCC